TTTTAGTTCCCAAGTTTTATTCAAGAACTCATACAAAATATTCCAGATAAATGAATTTTAATCCTCATCTTCCTCCTCTTCTTCATCCTGGTTAATCTGGAAGTAACGTAATTCGTAACTCTCTTTGCTGTTAGCAACTACGCGCAACCAATCACGTAGATTATTCTTCTTCAAATATTTTTTGGTGAGATATTTCAAATACCTGCAGAGAAAGAACACTTGAGAACTACACTAGACAAGAGTCATCTTGTATCCTAAAAGTTAACGTTTATAAAACCTACCCATTCGAGGGACCAGCAGTTGGTATAATGGCTATGTCACTGGATTCCCATGCAGCTAACTGTGGTTCAAGTTCCAGACCCGGTGGCTTAAACTCACACTGGGTGCATTTGTGTGTGTGCCCAAGATCCCGAGAGGAGAATGGAGAAGGGATTGTGGCATGGCCATCCCCCCTGGGCGAGGGTGGTGGTGGTGGTGATTTCTCGCTTTCTGTCTCTCTGTCTCTTGTCTTCCTGGCGAGCACTGGCGCCCTATAGCAAAAACCTCTCAAAACAAACAAACAAACAAACAAACCCTACCCATTCAAAATCATTACAACTCGGGGTTGGCAGGTGGCATGGTGGTTAAGGGCACTGGATTTCCACATGGCCAATTGTGATTCAAGTCTCAGACCTGGTGGCTTGCTTTCTCTCTCTCTCTGTCCCTCTTTAGTCAAATTTAAATAAATAAACAAATAAAGTTAAATAAAATAATTCTTTAAAAAGGGGGGGAGGGCTGGCGGTGGCATAGTGGTTAAGGCGGCTGGAATCCCACATGGCTGACCGCAGTTTAAGTCCCAAACCTGGCAGCTTGCTTTCTTACTTTCCCTCTCTTTTTCTTTCTCTGCTCAACTTTAAAAATAATAATAAAAAATAAAATAATAACAATGATTAAAAATTTTTAAGCTGTTTAAAAAAAAAACAATAATTACAACTCAAGGTGTTTTTCTCACCCTCTAAAAATGGAAAAATGTAAGGCCGAACACCCAGCTCTAACAATAAATAACAATGTTATCTAAATAGGCAATAAAAATGAGAACATGTAAGCAAATATAACAACTGCCCATTAAACAGCATGCATCCATAAAATGTTTTAGTGACCACTCGAGAAAGATATCATGGTAGTAATTCAACAGTTAAACACATAACCTTAATACCCTTTAAAGCAAAATCACTTGGTTTCCAATAAGCTCCAAGTACTTTACACACATCAGCTAACTGAGTCAATCCGCCCTTTGAGGTAGTTTATGTTATCCGGATTGTTTCTTAAGACTGTATTATACACACTCATAATTCTACAATGTGACACCAACCAACCCTCGGATTCAGAATGCCCTTCTGCTCCTGCTCTCACTCCAGCAGAGAGAGCACTAAGAGTTTTCTTTCTCCTTTCAGAGAAGGAGGGAGGGAAAGGGTAAGAGATGGAGGCAGGTTGGGACCAGCAGGTGACGTGGCAGCTAAGGTAATGGACAATCCCACATGGCCGACCACAGTTTGAGTCCCAGACCTGGTCGCTTGCATTCTCACTTTCTCTCCCTCCCTCTCTCTCTGATCAAATTAAAATAAATGAATGAATAAATAAAATTAATTTTTAAAAACGATGGAGACAGGTATTTTGACAGGGTCTCACTGTTGCAATCTTCCCAATTACCTAGGATGACAGGCATACACTATATCACATCCTCACACCCTACATGTTCAGGTTAGCCCAGGAACTGAATCTTGGCTTCCCTGCAGCTTCCAGCCTCCCAGGAAGTGGCACTGTGTCACCTAGCTGTACCTGTACACCACCAGGGCTGGGCTGAGTATTTACTTTCATGTTTCACTTCTGCCTCACCTGGATGAGAGCTAAACAGTCACAACAAACTTTTAGAAAATTGCTCTTTATATTATAAAGGCAGCAACTGGTCTTTGTGCGAGGCACCCTAACCACAAAGATTACCTCAGCCTGCAATCTTGTTTCTTCTCTCACCTGTTTATGAAGCCCCAAAGACAGCAATTCCACCTTCCCAAAGTCATTAAAAGAGAAAATACAATGCCACACAAATTCACTACTGGGCAAATTAATCTTGCCAAATTTCAGTTTTTTCCACTATAAACGGAACTCTTAATATTGAACCATCCCTTCAAACTGTTAATGAAGACTAAATGGGATGCACATGTAAATTCCTGACATAAGCGCAAACTCACCATCTCCAAGAAATGAATACTGTTAATGTTACCTACGCCAACAGAGCAATCTTCACAAAGAGGTGAAGATCTCAGTTCAACTCTATCCACTTTTCCTTTTCATAAAAATAAATCGATTTGGTCATTTCATATAGAAAGTATTCTTTTGTCCTTTATTACATCATCATACTGTATTTAGATGAAGTGTTTACTTCAAAATCTCAGGTAATTTGAAAATTTTCATAAGAAGAATGTTGGAGGGCCAGCAGATGGTATAGCAGTTAGGTCGCGGGACTCCCACATGACTGACTGCAGTTTGAGTCCCAAACCTGGTGGCCTGAAACTCACGCCAGGTACATATGCATACAAGCCCAAATTCCCAGAGAACGGAGAAGGGACTGTGGCATGGCCATCCCCTCTTGGGGGGTTATTTCTCACTTAAGGTACTGGCCAACTCTGTGGTTCAAGTGCCAGACTCAACGACTTGAAAAATGCGCAGAGCACATGTGTGCATGTGTCCGAAAGCCTGAGAGGAGAATGGAGAAGGGACTATGGCATGGCCATGCCCCTTGAGGGGTGATTTCTCACTCCCCCTCTGCCCGTCTGTTTCTCTCCAACAAGTCCACACATCCTGTGTATGTGTGTGTGTGTGTGTGTGGGGGGCTCAGAAGTTCAGAGACAAGAAAGAAAAAGTTCTGGATTAAGGGTACCTTGAATGTTTCCAGAAAAAAAGGTGGAGAGGCTCTTTCATTTTCCACTGGATAAAAAATTTGTGGAAACTGAAATGCTGCCAGGAGACACTCTCACACTGGAGTGATAAACAAGTCACAGAGAGATTAGAGACTGTTCCTCGTGGGCCCTGTTGAGCCCACCACGCTGGATGTCTTATACACCTCAGAGGACTCTAGTTGGACCTCTTCCTCTAAAAAATCACTTTCCCCACAAATACAGTAACTGCCAGGCAGTCTGTAAGGACATCCGTTAAGCTCCAAAGTCATCCATTCGTTTATATAGGTAAAAAGACCTGACAAGGGGCCAGCAGGTGGCATGGTGGTCAAAGGTGCTGGACTCCCAGATGGCTGACCCTAGTGGAAGTCCTGAACCTGTGTATTGCTTGCTCACTGTCCCTCTATCACTCTCTCTCTCTCAGTCTCTCTCTGATCAAACTGGAAGATAATAATAAAGTTAAATAATTCTTTTTTTAAAAAAGACCTAAAAATAACCAATTTTTCCTGAAACACCTTAAAATTTCCCACTACCTGACTCAATGTGATTAAAAATCAAGCCCTGAGGCTGACAGGTGGTGTGATGGTTAAGATGCTGGACTCCCACATGGCTGGCCACGGTTCAATCAAGTCCCAGACCTGGTGGTTTGCTTTCTCACTCTTTCTGTCTCTCTAGTCAAACTAAATAATAATTAATTAATTAAATAAATAATTTTTTAAAAAGCCCTGGTTCAGGAGCTAGGTATAAGCATGTCTAATTCTTTAGTGACCTGTCAAGTCTTTCAACCTCATCCTCAAAACAATCATATAATAAAGCAGCGCACACGTGAATTAACATCTCCATCTTGAAAAGAAAAAAGTGGGCCTGTAGGAATTAACTGGAGTTGCTTTACTCTAAACTGAGATCTTCTGATTCTTTGTCCAATGCCACAGTAGCATTTATGGGGGAGAGGGAGATATAAAATTAAAATGAAAGCTCAGGCCAGTCCTGTGGTCTAGTGGCTAAAAGACCCAGATCCTACATGGCCAACCACAGTTCAAATCCTGACCCCAGAGGCTTAGAAAAACATAGTAGGCAGAGCCAGCAGGTGATGTGGAGGTTAAAGCAGTTGATCTCACAAAGTCAACTTCATGATTAAAGTCCCAGAACCAGCAGCCTGAAAATCACACCAGCGTGTGTGCATGCATGTGCAAAAATCCCAAGAGGAAAATAGAAAGAGATTGTGGCATGGCCATCGCCCAGTGGCAGGGGGGTGGGCAATTTTTCTCTCTCTGGCAAGCATGCATACACGGCTACAACAAAAAGGAAAAAAACAGTCCGGGTGCTGGCTCCCTGACACAGTAGTAAAGAGCTGCTCAGAAGAGGCTGTATCTGACATGGTGACCACGGTCTAGGTATCCAGCCCAGTTATTCTGAAACACACTAGGCATGTGTGCGAGTGCACACACTCCAACAGGCTGAGAGAAGGGAAAGACGGGATAACCAGACCCAGGGGAGATTGCTTGTCTCTTTCTCTCTCTCATATGTCCATAAGCATGTTCTACTGAAAATTTTAGAAGAAAAGAAAGCATAGTCTAAGGGGGCAGCCAGAGGCAGCAATACTGCCACACTCTGGGATGCTGGACCCACATGAGTTTACATCCTGGGGCCTCCACGTACATGCCAGTCTGGCATGCATGAGTGCCCTCGTACCTCAAGCCAGGTTGGCTGAGGCTGGGGTGCACTGCAGTGTGAAAGACCTTGCTAGGTATGCCTGTCTCTCTCTGATGGAAGAAATAAATAAACCTGAAAAATAACAGTAATGAGGGCAGCAGGTGATGTGGTGGCTAAGGAATAAAATATTTCTTAAAAAAAAAAAAATAGTAATAATACAGCTTAAGCTGGATAGTTTTATACATCAGATAGTTTTACTGCTTGAAATTCTTTGGGCTATGAAAACAATTTTTTTTTTAGATCTTTTTGCTGTAGGACGTGTGTACTCCCCAGAGAGACAGAGACAGACAGAGAGAGAAAGCGAGAATCACCCCCCAGGAGACATGGCCACACTACAATCCCTTCTCCTTTATTCTCCTCTAGAGATATTGGGCACACACACATATTTGAAGTGGCTGCATCCAGTACTTGAACAGCATCAGCCAGGTGGGAGTCCAGCCCTTAACCACTACTTCACCTGCTGGCCCCAACAAAGTTTTTAAATGATCAAAAGATGAATACTTTTAACTACAATAGTAGCACTACTCAGTCACTACCTTCTGAACTGGAAACTGTTTCAGAAATTAAAAGATGCAACAAGGGACCAGCATGAGGCATGACGGTTAAGGCACTGGACATTACCACATGGCAAACCACGGTTCGAGTCCCAGACCTGGTGGCTTGCTTTCTCACCTTCTCTCTCCCTCTACGGTCAAATTAAAAATAAATTAATACATTTTTAAAAATTAAATAAATAATTCTTAGGGGAAAAAAAAAAAAGGATGCAACAATAAAACAAACTGTTGTCAAGTGGCCACCCTCCCACCAGGATGAGGGCAGGACTAAGCACTGGGTGCACACTGGTCACTTGTCTCCCTTCCTTACCTTTTGGAAAAAGGCACCTCAGAAGTTACAGTGATCTTGCTCTTGCTCCTTTCAATGGTTACAACACCTCCACCAAGATTCCCAGCTTTTCCATTCACTTTGATTCTCTCTTGGAGAAACTGCTCCTGTGGAAATTAAGTAGACCAATTAATGAAGTGACAGGCTCACCTATCTCAACAGAACAGTATATATTTTTTGGTTTTCCCAGCATTCAACTAATAGTTTTTTTTTTTTTTTAATCTTTTAAAAAAAGATAGCATCGTAAGTCTCAAACCTAGAAACAGCAAATAGAGGGACCAGCAGTTAGCATAATGGCTATGTCGCTGAACTCCCACCTAGTTGATCGCGGTTCGAGTCCCAGACCTGGTGGCTTAAACTCACGCCAGGTGTGTGTGTGTGTGCGTGCGTGCGCGCCCAAGATCCCTAGAGAACGGAGAAGGGATTGTGGTGTGGCCATCCCCCTGGGAGGTGATTTCTCACCTTCTATCCCTCTGTCTCTGTGTGTCTTTCTGGCAAGCGCATGCGCCCTATAGCAAAAACCTCTCCAAAAAAAAAAGAAACAGCAGATAGAAGATATCATTATTTAGGAGCAGCAGATGGCATATTGGTTATATCATTTGACTCCCCCACATAGTTGACCGTGGTTCGAGTCCCGGATCCACTGGCTTAAAACTCACACAGGGTACATGTGCATGTGTGTCCAAAATTCTGAAAGGAAAATGAAAAAAAAAAAAAAACTGCAGCATGGCCAATTCCCTGGGAGGTGATTTCTTGCTTTTTTCTGTCTCTCTGGCAAGTGTACATGCCCTGGCAAAAATCAATCAATCAATTAAAAATGGAATCCCAGGACCAGCAGGTGGCATAGTGGTTAAGGCGCTGGAATTCCCACATGGCCGACCACGGTTTGAGTCCCAGACCTGGCGGCTTGCTTTCTCACTTTTCTTCTCTGTCTGTCTTTCTCTGGCAAAACTCATGTGAAATAATAATAATAAATAAATAAAATAATTTTAAAAAAATGAAATCCCTTTCAAAACACCTATAATTCTTTATTTAAAATCTCCAAAGGGTGCCAACAGGTGGTTAGGGTGCTGGACTCCCACATAGTTGGCCACGGTTCAAATCCTGAACCTGGCAGCTTGTTTTCTGTCTCTGGTGAACACATGTACCCTGTAGCAAAACCTTTAAAAATAATAATAAAAACTAAATAATTCGAGACCAGCAGTTAGTGTAATGGTTATGTTGCTGAACTGTCATGTAGTCGACCATGGTTCGAGTCCCAAACCCGGTGGCTTGAATTCACATGGAAGCATGTGCATGTGTGCCCAAGATCCCAAGAGGAGAATGGATTGTGGCATGGCCATCCCACCCCCCCAACCCCCCGAGGGGGGTGATTTCTCGCTTTCTTTTTTTTATTTTTTTTGTTGAGGTTTTTGCTAGAGGGTGCATGCACTCGCCAGACAGACAGAGACAGAGAGACAGAAAGCGAGAAATCACCCCCCAGAGGAGGATGGCCACGCCGCAATCCCTTCTCTTCCATTCTCCTCTCGGGATCTTGGGCACACACACAAATGCACCCGGTGTGAGTTTTAAGCCACCGGGTCCAGGACGCGAACCGCGGTCAACTACATGGGAGTCCAGTGACATAGCCATTACGTTAACTGCTGGTCCCATGATTTCTCGCTTTCTATCTCTCTGTCTCTGTCTTTCTGGTGAGTGCATGTGCCCTATAGAAAAAACTTCCCAAAAATAAATAAGTAAATAAATAAATAATTCTTTTAAAAATAAAATCTCTAACACTGGAACCAGCAGATGGCATAATGGTTATGTCACTGGATTCTCATGTAGTCATCTATGGTTCAAGTCCCAGACCCAGTGGCTTGAAACTCATGCCAAGCATGTGTGTGCGTGCCCAAACAAATCCCAAGAGAACAGAGAAGAGATTGCAGCATGGCCATCCCTCTGGGTGGTTAGTTTCTCGCTTTCTGTCCCTGTCTCTTCAGTGAGCTCATGTACCCTATAGCAAAAATCTCTTAAAAAAAAAAAAAAAAAAAAAAAACAAGCAAACAAACAAACATAAAAACCCAACTCCAACCCAGTGCCTAGTGGCCTCCATGGCCTGGTGGTTGAAGCAGATGGCTCCTAAGTTGCTAACCTCTTTATCCCAAATCTGCAGCTTGAGAAACACACCAGGGTGCCAGCAGGCTGCATGGTGGTTTAGCGCTGGAACTCCCACATGGCTGACCACAGCTTGAGTCCCAGACCTGGAGGCTTGTGCTCGTACTCTCTTTCTCTGTCTTTCTCTGGCAAAACTCATGTCATAAAATAATAATAAATAAATAATTCTTTTTAAAAATATTTTTTAAAAAGAAACAAACAAACAAACACACCAGGCATTTATGCATGTGCCCAAAATCCTGAAGGAGGGAGATGGAGAAGGGATTACAGTGTGACCATTCCACATAGGTGGAGCTTTCTCCTTTCTCTCTCTGGTGAGCACATACATGCCTTTTAGCAGAAAATCTCCAATACAAAATAATGTGAACCACAGATGGGACAGAGGATGACAAGGTCAGAAATCTACTGTGTCGTCAGGAAAGGCATGAACCATTTTGCATTGAAAACCAGAAAGATATGTCATGACTCTCCCAACGACCTAGTAACTTCTACATCATGAGACTCACAAATGACAACTTTCCAACCTGAGGCTTCTAGAGAAATGATAATCACACACAGAGGAGTGCATTCAGGAAACGGATTGTGGAGGCAGAGAGCAG